GTACTATGACAAGGGACGCCGGAAGGAGAGATTCGAACCAGGTGATTGGGTTTATCTCAAGTTAAGAACACATCGTCAACAAACCATTTCTCATAAGGCTTTGTACAAGCTGGGAAGTCGATATTACGGGCCATATAAGATCATGGAGAAGATAGGCGAGGTGGCATACAAATTAGAGTTACCCGTGGAATCTCAAATTCATCCAGTAATCCATGTGTCACAATTGAAAAGGAGCCTAAGTGATGCCCATGAGGCGCATATTCGATTACCGGCGGTAAATGGGAAAGGACAAATCATTGTACAACCAGGGACGGATCTAGAAATTTTGTTGAGTGTCGGCCTAAAACTATTTTCGAGAGATGGCAAAATGGTTTAAAAAGAAAATGTAATTTTCATTTTTTAAAATTGATTTCTGTAAAAAAATACATTGTGATTTCTAAACTCATAAATATAATCTTAAGTGCTTTATACTCAAAATATTCTACAAACTAAAATCTATTGTCCAATATCTTTTATGTGCAATAGAACATGAACCTCAGAATATATTTTAGAAATACAAACTAAATTAGAACCATAATATTGTTACCATATTTAGAAAAATGGATTGGATCGAACTGGTCGTAGCTGAAATCAATCAATTGATCAATTTGGTTCGAACTGGTAAAAAAAGTTCAGAACTGTCCAATTGGATGGATCCAAATTTATTCATTTTGAATAATAAGGTTTGATAATATATTTCTCAAATAAATAAAAATAGATATTTAAATACTGAATATTGTAAATTATTATAGTGTTTAGTTTAGAAATTTGAGATATTTAAAGTAATATATAGTTATATACCAATTCAAGTGTTGGCTAATGGACTTGTAGCTTGGCTGTTAATTCCTAAACAAATAAATATATAAAAACAAAAAAATGTAATTGAAAGTGAACTAAAAATAAAACCATATGCACCATGGCTAGATGGATGAAACCAAATAAAAGACAGTATGATCACCTTTTATTTTTATTCATCTGCTAAAGTTTTGTTTACTTATGAGTGACATATTAAAAATAATTGATTTTACATCTAATGTAAACTTTTTATCCAAAATTTGAGTGAGGGCCTAAGTCCCCACTGGACTCAATCTACATCTGCCCCTGTGTACAACCTCGTGGAGTTGTCGAATATCGAAGAATCAAGCGAGCCGGGCGTTTTCGTTGGGAAGTCCTAATCGAGTGGGAGGACTTACCGGAAGAAGAAGAGACTTGGGAGAATTTGCAAGAATTCGCACTAAATTTCCGACATTTATCCTTGAGGACAAGGATACACTTCAAGGGGACGTGATGCGAACGAGGGTCGTAACCTCAAAACGCGTACAATTAGGCCCGACGAGCTAATCTCAAGAAGGTTGGGATTGAGACAAAAGCAGGAGCAACCTTCATTCACACCGCAGGATACTCCACGTCGTGAGCCTTGCCAATCACCACGCTGCGGAGAAGAACGTGAGCGACTCCACTGGCGGACAGAGAATTCGGAATTTCCGGCGCCACGCCGTGAAGAACGCAGTGCCGCGGCAACAGGCCAAAGTGACACGGTTTGAGGAACACCACGCCACGGAGAAGAGAGACGCAGGGTCGATGCAGTAGTTTTTTTTTATTTTATTTATTTTCTTTGCAGTTTTAATTCAGTTTCCTAGTTGCAGTAGGAGTTATTTTTCTTTTCCAGATATAAACCACTGTACGGGTGAAGAACATTTTTATCTTTTTACCAATTTCATAATCAAAAAACGCTCGTTTGAGCACCAAATCTCGTGTCGACTGCCGACCATTCTATTGCGGGTTTACATTTTTTTTTTTCGTATTATTCTTTAATTTCGATACACAATCTTAAAAGAGTTGCAGAACTCTTTGGAAGCAATGTACAAAATGGAAGATAATGACACTAAAATTTCTCATCGGCAAATTCCTAAAGTACTTGATGGTTGACACTAAGTCGGCGGTTAGCCAAGTTCAAGAGATTCAAATCATCCTTCATGTATGTTGGCCAAGGGATTGATTATGAACGAAGCCTTTCAAGTGGCGGCTGTAGTTGAAAAGTTGTCTCCTTTACGGAATGACTTCAGGAGTTACACAAATAGATGAAACTCACGGATTTGATAGTTTGTCTTCGGATAGAAGAAAATAATAAAAAATTTGAAGTATTGGCCAAATGGAGCAAGATTGGAGGCTAAGGCAAACTTGGTCGAACCGAGCTCATGTAAGAAGCGTAAAAACGATTTTCATGACAAACCTAGGTAGGACTCCAAGAAATACAAGGGATGTCCTTACGATGGTGATAAACTCGGGTACCTTGCCGAAGATCGCTAACTTCTGAAGAGAGGTAAAGGATAGCGCGAATTTTTTAGGACAAGATAAAACTTGTCAGAGCTTGATCTTTCCATCGTGATTCGAGTACATACTTTGATTAAAATTTCACATTTATAGTGGATAAGAATAAGAGTCTCTTGACCCATAGACACTTATAAACGTTGTCTTACAACCCTACATACGGAAGATAGTATTTGTGTAATCCCTCGACTATAGTGAAATGGAATATGATTCATATGGATTGGGTAAAGTTAGACAAGAACCTATGTTACCTAATCCTATAAGGAGTCCTTGTTGAACACCTTATTAAGGTCCTTGTTGTGGCATATAAATACTCCAAGTCTCCCTCATAAATTAGTTAAATCACATGCCAGTCTTCTTCAACAGAAATACATGCATGACGTGAATAATCTTAAGAGAAAGAGAGAGAGAGAGAGAGAGAGAGAGGGATAGGGTTTGAGAAATCTTAAGAAAGAGAGAGAAAGATATTCCAAACACAATGTCTCTTTCTTCTTTCCCAAAAACCAATCAAGTGAGATTTATGAAGAGAAAACTCCAATCAGTCGTCGCCCACAAAGACGAGCTTGGAGAGGTGTTGAAACATACAACAGAAGACTTTGAGGTCACATAACTACCCGTTTGTTCGGTTCTGTAGTCCGTGTAAGTCTTGTCTGAGTCGACAAATTTTAAATAATACAAATTCAGTCCTAACTTTAGATTCGTTGCGCTTGGGATTTTTTTTTTTTTTTTTTTTTTTTTTTTTTTTTTTTTGTGTAGATTTCTAGCATACACAATAACCGACATTCTTCTCCAAACCCAACAAAGACCCCAACGTCCCTGGATCTTCTCCTAGAGCTTGTGTACCTGAGCAGCCATGCATTCCAGTTTCGGATCCCGCCGAGCTAGTGATGCTACACTAGGTGAACTAGTGGACCGCTCTGGCTCGTCATCACCCCATCTCGTCACCATAGGGTGATCCACGGGTCACACTATGACCTCCGCTGCCATGTGGGCAGGTAGGGTACGCACCGCCACCGCCTCCACCTCCGCAATAATTTTTTCTGACTCTGTTCAGGCGATCTGGATGAGTCGCTCCTCGAGGATGCTAGTTCGATATTCCACACAAACATGGGCTACTTTTTGTGTGCGGACGAGGGCCCGCTCACTTCCGTTGGCGACCTCCAGCTGTCGTGGCTGGGAGGAGAGGAAGGGTCCTCGAACCTACCCTCTTGAGTCAACTCTATCGGGGTCTAAATCAGTGTCTCTTGGGGGCGTGAGACTTTTTTAACCTGGGTTCTTGGTGACTCCCCACAATGATCCACCCTGGATATGGGCCCGACCCAAGAGGTCACTTTACCGACCAAGTATCATCGCAACCCTTCTCCCCGTTACCTCCTTCTTTCCCTACCATTGATATTGACTGAAACTTCGTACAAATTGTAAAAAAACTTAGTCCCGTTCCAACTGTCATAGAACTGAGACGACGCTAATTTGTTAAAGATTTACCAAATAACTCTGGTTCTGGATGGTCGGCTTCATTTGGACCTCTGAGTTGTAACTAATCTTCTCGCCTGAGTATCAGAACAAAGCATCTGGAAGGTTTACAAAGTGAAGCCTCCAACGATCAAGTTAGTCACCTCATATTAGGACGTAAAAGTGGTTCTATATATTAATAAAATAGTTTCCTTGTTGTCCAAGAGTTCTATATACTCGAGGAAACCTCGAAATCCTATCTTCATTAGATGTTATACAGTCAACACCTCATCAGGTCGACCGAGAGTCACATTATGGAACAAAAAAATCTTTCGATAGACCAACTCCATTATCTAGGTCTCCGGCCACCCAGGTCATAGGTCAATAGCTCGGCCTAACGCCCTCGGAACACATATTTATCCCAATCAAGCTGGTCGACCTACTGAACCTGCTTGATCTAAGTTGAGCTGAGGGAGTTTCGATTTAGAACAGAGCTACTCAAGAGCCCTCAGGACCTAACTCTTTGATTTCACACACACCCACATGGGTGTGTGTGTGAGTGTGTGCAACTGCCCCTACATGCAGCATCGGCTCTTCCCATGAACACATTAAATGTATCTATTAGTCAGGTGCCAAAATTTCATTATCTTTCAACACCATACTTGTTAGTTTTCCACCATGGGAAGGATAACGAGATCGTATCTTTCAGATTGACTTGATAGTGACATATCACTTGAGTCACGATTGAGCCATTGACTAACTAAGTATAAAGTTATAAACAAGTTGGACGGAACTCGATTTTTTGACACTCGAGCTCTAAATCGAGCCGCAACGAGTTCAGTAAACGAGCGAGCGAAATTGCTAAAAATTTAAAAATATTCACTAAACTCCTAACCTTTAATCCTTACATGTCGAGTCAAAAAAAAGAAGCCTTTAATAAGTACTTGAGCTCACGAAAGACTAATTTTGATTAATAAATTTAATAATTAACTTGAAATTGGAATATATCTAAACACCTTTGCTTGGCACGTGACAGCTTCGTGAGTAAATCAGTACGTTGGGGGCCTGAAATCTACCATAAGGGCAAAGGTTCAGAAGGCAATAATGAGACAGAGCTTCGTACCAATGTTTTTAATGAATAAAAACAACACTTGCCATTATCACCCCAAAAATATATCCAAATATTTCCATTTGAAGTTTGACCTTTCTTCGACCTTTTTCTTTTTCATTTATTCATTTTATTTTCTCTTCGATTTTTAATAGCTGTCATCTCTGCTTTTTTACTTCCACTTATCTGATTTCTTCTGCTGCTTTAGCTTCTTCTTGTAAACTTGTTCACCTTCCCCATACTCGTTCGTACTCGAGATTAAAAACTCATAGTAACGCACACACAGTGAACTAGAAGAAGTTCAAAATGCATAATAGCTTCAAAGCATCCGCAACACAGGCTATTGATTTGTACTGCCATAATAACCAGACACCCTTTTACCTCAGGTGCTCAGAAAAGCTTGTCTTCCTTTTTGTTTCACTCTCTTTCTTCTTCAGTTTTTTGTCTTTCTCCGTGTGTTGAATTGCATGTGTATACTTTATTCACCTTTCTATTCCAACATACCGTTTGCCTTTTTAACTGTATAGATATAATATACCGTTTGGTGAAACTAATTTATACGCATATTTGACTATAGAAATGAAGAAGCTGGCAGAAACGGGCCACGCTTTTCGGATCTTGGGGAGCTTGAACAGTCAGCTGGAAATGGATTTCACCATGAAGATAACGCTGTTAATTTAAGCAGAAGTAACCTCCCTTTCTCTTTTCCTTTTCTCGTCTCCATAAGCTTAAACCACGCACGCTTCAGCGATTTTTTTTTTCCATTTTTTATTTTTCATAAATTAATGGGGAGTCTTGTTAGGCTCAGTATATAACGAGTTGAAGGCAAGCAATGTCTCAGTTGTCTCCAATAACATGCAGTTTGGTGGGCTCAGCAATGTGAGTTTTCTCCTTTACTCTTCGGTGTTCACAAAATGTTTGTGAAAATGACTCAACCACTTCATTTGTGTGTTATTGTCATCTCAGGCCATGGTTTCAAACGAGATGGTTTCATCTGGAACGGGTTTGGGTTTCATCTCTCACAAGGAGACAAATGCAATGGTGGGTGTGGGTGGGGCTTTGGGCCGTGGCCACTTTGAAAACTGGACCGATTCTGGGATTGTAGCGGATCATAGCCAGCAGACTGACACGTCAACTGACACGGATGATAAAAACCAGGTTCTTGTTTTTTGAGATTAATCTTATGCCACCATTTTTTTTTTTAATGGAACCCTTTTGTGGTTAGTTCTGTAATTCTCACGGTTTTGGTGATTCTTTTGAAATGGGTTATATTCTAGCTGATGAGGTTATGTGTTTTTGCCTTGGCATGTTTGGTGTTTGGTTATGGAAGGTTTACTATAAATCACCTTTTTTAGCACAAATAGCATGTTGGGCAAGGAAGATGTTTCTATTCAAGTTGATCTTAGTGTCTCCTGTGTGATTCCTATGTTGTGTCCAACATTTGCTAGAGTTAATTGCAATTGCGTTTGTGTGTGTCCCTATTTTACACCGGTGTCCAAATCTGATAGTTTGGGATATATTGAGCCAAACAGAAAATTAAAAAAAAAAAAAAAAAAAAAAAAAAAAAGAGTCTTGTTGGGTTGATTTGAAACTGTTTCTTAAGTTAAGGCTTATTGTTTTGGTTGCACATCTTTAGTATAATGGAGTTCATCGTGAGGGGTTGATAGTTGTGGATTCAGTGGACCAGTGCAGGGGCAAAATTGGGGACCAGAAGGTTTGTTTCTTTTCATTTTTCTTCTCTAATTATTTTGGTACCTTGTGCCCTGGTTTGCAGTATTTAAAAGTTTTGTTTTTCTTTTGTTATCTTCGCCTCTATTTCAGGTACTCCGTAGATTAGCTCAAAACCGTGAAGCTGCAAGGAAAAGCAGAATGAGAAAAAAGGTAATTGTGAAACTCTTAAAATTTGTTCCTTTGTCCATAACTGTGATAATTTCAAGGGGATTTGTAATCAACAGTTTTTCTTTTTTATAATGATTTACATTGAACTAATTCTAATGTTGCAACTAGAATTCACCAGTGTTTCATGCATCTTTTTACCTGATAGTGATATTGTTTCATGTATTATGCCTCTTTGCATGAACTGAAATGGATTTAGTTATGTGGTCCCTCAAGTGTGATCTTTTTTTACCTTCTATTTCTACATTTGTCATAGTAGTTCAGCAAATTACATCTGGACAATACTTGAATGGTTTATAGGTTTTATTTTCTGTTAGGCATACGTTCAGCAGCTTGAGAACAGCCGGCTAAAACTCACACAACTGGAGCAGGAGCTCAAAAGAGCACGTCAGCAGGTCTTTATTTCTGATGTCTTTAATTTGATATTGAATCTCCGACATTGTTATTGCTTTTATTACTCGTCAGTTCCCTTTTAATTTATCTAAGCATTAATTTTCCTGACAAAATCACAGAGTATGTTTGTGTCGTCTGGAATTTCTGGAAATCAGAATCAATGTGTGGGTGGCAATGGTGAGTGAAATTTGGCAATCATTTTTTTTTTTGAGAAATTTTACCTGAAGATTTTGGGGCCCCAAAATTGACCACTCAAATTGACAGTTCCTTTTCCAATTAAGTGCCATTTGTGTACTTGTTTAGTTTACTTAATGGCGTTCGCATTTGCAGGGGCTTTGGCCTTTGACATGGATTATGCAAGATGGCTGGACGAACATAATCGACTGATGAACGATCTTAGGTCTGCTGTGAGTTCTCATGTGGGTGACAATGAACTAAGGCTTCTTGTGGAGAGTGTGATGTCGCATTATGATGAGTTATTCAGGCTCAAAAGCATAGGCTCAAAATCAGATGTGTTCCACATGCTCTCGGGCATGTGGAAAACGCCTGCCGAGAGGTGTTTCATGTGGTTAGGAGGTTTTCGCTGCTCTGAGATCCTCAAGGTAAATTACTTGTGAACAAAATAAAATATCAAATAAATAGAAACTAATTATTGTTGAAAAATGAGATACTTGTGTTGCTAATTCTCAAATCTTGCTTACCAAAAGGGTATTTACTACACTAAAAGTTCAAAACTTATCTCATTATGGAATTAATATCAGTTAAAAGGGGATAATAGTAATTTCGGTAGATCGTTGGAGTTGTTTTTGCAATTTTGCTAATCCACATGGGATAGTTTCTGTTAGTATCCTGCAAAATCAGTTCTGTAAATGACAAGGGTATTATACGGATTGAAAAAAAATAAAATGTTGTGTTACCGTAAACATATCAGCTTTTGTTCTTTGCAGGATACAAAGTTGGCGAAACATTTAGTTGACTATGAAAAATCTTGTTATTCCTAGTTTAACTAGATTCAATAGCTGATACCAAGATTCAGATTTCTCTTAAATTTTATGTGCACATTAACCAATTTTCTACCTGTATGAAGCTACAGAACAGAATTTCCAATTCTTCTAATTCTCATGTTAACCATACATTTTGTTTTAATTTACTGTGATTTTGAATTCCAGTTCATTCCAATATTAATTTATTTATTTTATTCAGATTCTTGGAAACCAAATCGAGCCTCTAACTGATCAGCAGCTGGTGGGCATTTGCAATCTGCAGCAATCCTCACAACAAGCTGAGGATGCCCTTTCCCAAGGAATGGAAGCTTTGCAACAATCCCTTGTGGAGACTCTCTCCTCCAACTCCCTTCCCTCACGCCCTTCTCTCAATGTTGCCGACTATATGGGCCAGATGGCCATTGCTATGACCAAACTTGCCACTCTTGAGAATTTTCTCCATCAGGTAACTTTTTCTACTTCTCAGATTATAGTTGTGGAAAAAGAAACTGACTTTGAAAATTGTAGAATCCTCCCTTTACGATGTTATATTGTCTTTGCACGTTTTATTGGGGGCGAAATGTAGGACAGAATAAATAACTCAAGGACGGTTTTGTAATTTCCAAAAGTTATACATCGTTTCGGTAAATTACACGAACCTTAACGAGGGAAGTTTCATATGAAGTGCACTGAATTATGAATGTCAACCATTACTTTAAATGATAATAATAGTTTTCTACTTCTCCCTTTAATTAGTTAATCAAATAAACCAGATTATTTTTTTTTTATGAAGACTTAAAAAGGGTATTGGTACTGTTTACAGGCTGACCTTCTTAGACAGCAGACATTACAACAACTGCAAAGAATCTTGACCACACGTCAAGCTGCGCGGGCCCTTCTCGCCATTAGTGATTACATGTCTAGGTTACGTGCTCTTAGCTCGTTATGGCTAGCACGCCCTAAGGAATGACTTGAAAAACCCTCTTTACATACCAATTTGCCTTCCCCTTAGCAGATGTTATGTAAATTATGAGGTAGTAATGTATCTTTGCCTGTATTTTAACTTGAAGAGTTGTTTTCAACACCAGATTGCTCTAGTAATTCACTGGTGTGAAGCTGTTTCCTAATTGGGTGCATCTTAACTAATCTCAAATGAAAGGGTGTGAAATGTTTTACAATGTTTGGCTGTACTTTTCAAATTTGTGTAGAATTGCAAAAGCTACCCCTTAGGTTTGTACTAGTTACCAAGAGAAAAAATATTTAAACTTTTTTTGGTTTTTGGATACCCTCCTTTTGACTGTGTAAATAGCAGAGTAAATTGCCTATATTTGTTAGGCAATTGATTTTCTGAAATAGAAATGGATATGGGGTCTATTTGTACTTGGATATTATAGAATTATTCCGTCGCGTTTTACCTCTTTTTTTTTTTGTTTTTTCAATTATATTCCTAAAAACATTTTATATTTTCTAAGACATTCTTTTCCTGAATCAGAATTTGATATCCAGGCATTTCCTTATGCATTTATTTATACAAAAGAACAAAGATGGAATTCTAAATCTTGAGGAAGGCCTGCAAGAACGCAAATTTCAATCCAGGTCATTATTTTCCCCACTCTCTTGTTTGCCTTTCCTCTTCTGCCCCTTCTTCTTCTTCCCTGCAGTTCCATTCAAAAATTAAGATCATCATCAGACCATACAAGAAAAATTGGCAGATAAAAAAGACTACAAATTATGTATACATATATATATATATATAATTCATAAAAACTATGAGACGTACTTGATCTGTTTCTTCTTCGAGAAGGCAAAATTTGGGGTATGAAAACCCCTGTCCCATTACCACATCTCCACAAGTTGACAATCCATGCTGGAACTGAATTTTCTTCATCCCTGTTCTCAGGCCAGTTGTAATATCCTCTTTTTATCTGAGCAGGGACATTATTAAGGCCATGTTTGGCTGCCACCGTGTTATGATTCTTGATTTCAAGATTTTCTTCATCAAAATTATCCTCCTCTGCCGTCAGCTGCAAAACTTGTTCCCTAATCTCGTGATAGAAGTCATCATCTTCGTATTCGAATTCGTTGAACGAATATTCATATTCGTCCGTTATTTGTAAGTCTTGAGGGAAAACAGTGTGGATATCCATGAGAGGGAAGTTTTTCTAATTCTAATTTGTTTGGTTTATAGCTGACAAATTGAATATGCTCATGTATTTATATGGGTGTGATGATGTGAATTGCACTAGTCAGGTGCTTGAAGAGACTACTAAATATTAAAAAATAAATAAAAGTCGGGTTGACTTTGGTCAACGTTGAATTGCACTAGGATTGGGCATGTTGACGTAGTTGCGAATGCGAAGAAAATTCCACGTTTTTTAAAAGTAAAAAGTGAACCTATTTGGATTTCTGTCTCCCTTGATGATTGCAGTATTAAATATTTATCTCGGGTGGAGGTGAATTAAGATCTTCATACCGCGTTTTTTTAATTTTTTTTTTTATTTGTTGACAATTTTCATTTTGTGTCTTTATACGTACTCACTGACATTATTATTTTCTCATCTTTTGGTCTTTATTCTAACCATTCATTGTCTTTGTACACATCGTCTATACCGAAATATTGTTACAACGCATGTTATAAATATCTCTGGCCTATTGAATTAGAGACTAAAAATCAACTGCACTTAGTATTCTTTCCATGGACGGACGCAGACTTTAAGGACAATGGGGGACAAACTACGGTCAACTGTCAATACCGAAAATCAACGGTCAAATCAATATTTAACCAATTAAAAAAATAAAAAGATTAAATCTTGACCCGACACCTTGTTTTTTATTTAATAGCTATAGTTGAGTCTTACATTCTCATTTTAAGAATAGAGACATATTTGATCCAATCCCTATATGATATATACATTTATGTCTAATGATTTTGAGAGGAAAAAGGAAATAAACAAGAAGTTGAGTATAGCATAAACATAAATTCCACAACTTAAAAAAGAACATACTATTGAAGGTTAAATAATTTTAAATATTTCTTCTTTATTTTTTATATTGAAATAATTTTGCATAATAATTAATAATATGTATTTTTTTATGTCAATATAATAATACATATGTACATATAACATATATATACTATATTACTAAAAAAAATTCTACAAGGATCCGTGTCCCTATAGACTGATCCGCCCTGATTCTCCTTACTCTTCAAAGTCACATAGGCATTTACCGGCCTCATGGCCGAAGTTGTCGATCTACGCGCAGATCTGATAGGAGTTTTCGCCCACAAAAACCGAGTATAAATATGTCAAATCCCCTAAAAGACGTGTTGCCTCGTCTCTTTGCATGCGGAGGGCGACCAACCGATACGTTTATAATGACTCACCAAACATTCATGATGATTTTACTTTTTTATTTAGTAGAAATTGTAATAACACAATTTCAGTTCATAGTTAGATTAGTAAACATTAATTTATTTTTTCCATTGTAATCCAACATCCATAATTCGTAGTAACAAGATGATGTCTATGTACATGATTGTTTAAACCAGCAACATGGTAATAATATAGATTAAAGGCGTGAATTATAATTAATTGACAAAATATAGAACATAATAAATGATTTGAATATAATCTAACGTTTTGCTCGTGTTGTTCTTATATTTTGCGGTAATTTTTCAAGTGCTTATTCGTTATAACGACAACTGTCACTATTCGATTCTTTTGTTGTGTTCGTTTTGACCATAGATAATACTTTGGATTCATAAGTGTTTATGTTTGAAGCGGCTCTCACTTCACACTTATATAGATGGTCTCCCCAACAAGAGTATTATGTATTACTCCATATTTGAAAGGTTAGTAATTCATTCAAAGTCTAGATGACTTACCCTTTGTAACGCCCAATTTATTTTAAGAAAATCATAGTATTTACATTTCATTTCTTCGCTCAACTAAATTTTGTTTTCAGTTTCAAGTCCTTTAATCAAAATGAAAATTAAGTAGATATTTTCGTTTATTTAATTCTCCTAATAAAAAATTGAGATTTAAAAGGATGTCCTCGTCTTCTTAATTCTTTTTTTGTGCTCTTGTTATATTTTTTGTCCCAAGTGCTTATTTATGTTATGTGCTAAATGTTTATTTATTTTCCTAAGTGTTCAATTTATTTTGCTAAGTGTGCTTATTTGTGTTTTGGAGCTAAGTGTTTACTTATTTATCCCAAGTGTTAAAAAATTTGTCTAAGTCTTTTATCTAGTGCCTAAGTTGTATTTTGTTTTTCCCAAGTCCTAATTTGAGCCTAAGTATTAAATTTGCTCAAGTGTTCAAAAATGTTTTTCCTAAGACTAAGAGTAGTTCTCGGCCACCTTTGTACAAGCCAAGCAAAAATTTAAAATTCTCCAAGCACACCCCAAAGACCAAGCTTAGACCCGGTTTCCCCTTATCTCGGACCTCAACAACTGCCAGCTCACCTCAACTCCAAGCAGCAGCCCCTCAAAAACTGTTGGGGTAGAAAACCAAACACAGCGGACAAAAATATCACTCCAACAAATATGACAAGCACTACTCCAAACGAAAATAAGTCATTACAAATAAATAAAAGAGGAGAAATAAAAAGGACACAAAAATTGATAACGGAGTTCGGCGAAAATAACCTACGTCTCCGGGCTCCGCCAACCGCAACAACAAATTTACTAAACTCACCAACAAAATACAACTAGGGTTAAATAACCCACAAATTAGGATTTCCTTAAATAAAGATTTCCTACCAAGAGAGGAGAGAATAGAATAAGGTGCAATTGTAACCCAAAGGCAAGGGACCTATTTATATTAATAAGATCTTACACATCTTTGATATACATTCGATGTGGGACAAACAATTAATAAAAAACTAACAATTCTCCACCTTGACTAATTTTGCTCCCACTTCGACTCTTCAATCCAAATCAACTGCTGGCGGTGCCTCCAAATGCGCCTCACGGCGCCAACTCAAATATGCAGAATGTTGGTCAAGTCTAAACAATGTTCAAACTTGACTGTTGTCACTACCTTGGTCATCATATCTGCAGGATTCTCCGTCGTCTTGATCTTCTTCAACACAACGGTTCCATCTTCTAGAATCTCCCGCACAAAGTGATAGCGAACATCAATATGCTTCGTTCTTGCATGAAATCCTTGATTTTTCGCTAAGTGAATAGCGCTCTGACTGTCACAATGCACTAAGACGTGCTTTTGACCAACTCCCAAGTCTTCAAGCAAACTTTGAAGCCAAATAGCCTCCTTCACAGCTTCAGTAACTGCCATATACTCTGCCTCTGTTGTAGACAAAGCAACCGTTGACTGTAAAGTAGACTTCCAACTGACTGGAGCTTTCGCAAAAGTGAACAAATATCCAGTCGTTGATCTTCGCTTATCCAAATCGCCCGCGTAATCAGAATCACAATATCCAACCACCCATTGACCAAATTCATCCTGCTCATAAACTAATCCAACGTCTACAGATTATGAATGTACCGTAGAATCCATTTCACAGCTTGCCAATGACCTTTACCAGGGTCATGCATATATCTGCTAACAACACCAACTGCTTGTGAAATGTCGGGCCTTGTACACACCATCGCATACATCAAACTACCAACTGCATTTGCATATGGGACTCTAGTCATGTACTCTCGTTCTTCATCACAATTTGGCGATAATTGGGCACTTAACTTAATATGAGGGGCAAGTGGTGTACTTACAGGCTTCGTCTCATCTTTTATGCCGAAACGCTGTAGTACCTTATTCAGATATTGCTTCTGAGTCAAACAAAGCTTGCCTCTCCTTCTGTCCCTACTTATCTCCATCCCGAGAATTTTCTTAGCTTCCCCCAAGTCTTTCATCTCAAACTCTTGATTCAACTGAGCCTTCAAATGATCAATCTCCACTTGGCTCTTTGATGTAACCAATATGTCATCCACATACAAGAATAAGTAAATGAAAGATCCATCTTGCAGCTTGCGTAGATACACACAATGATCATGTCTGCTTCGTGTGTACTTCTGCCCAATCATAAACTTATCAAACCGTTTGTACCACTGTCTCGGAGATTGCTTCAGTCCATACAACGATTTATTCAACTTACAGACCCAATTCTCTTTTCCAAAAACTTTGAATCCTTCTGGCTGAGTCATGTAGATTTCCTCATCCAAATCTCCGTGTAAGAACGCCGTCTTCACGTCAAGTTGAGCTAGCTCTAAATCAAATTGTGCTGCTAAGGCCAACAAAATTCTAATGGAAGAGTGATTAACAACTAGAGAAAACACTTCATTATAATCAACTCCTTCCTTCTGAGCGTAGCCTTTAGCCACCAATCTTGCCTTGTAGCGCACATCATTCTTATGAGGAAATCCATCTTTCTTTGCAAATACCCACTTGCATCCTATCGCCCTCTTGCCTTTTGGTAGTTGCGTCACCTTCAAAGTCTGATTCTTCTGGAGAGACAACATTTCTTCCTCCATAGCCCTTTTCCACTTCTCATTTTCTAAACTCCAAATTACATCTTGAAAAGTGAAAGGTATATCATCATCAACAATTGGAAGTGCATAAGCCACCATATCCGCCAATCGAGCAAGTTGTTGAATCTCTCGTCTGGGCTTTCTCAATGCAATGGGTAACTCTAATGATTCTTGAGTTTGTACTTCATCATCTGAAGAATCCTTTGATATTGGTTCGTCGATCATAGCTGGTTGTCTCGTCATCGCATCTATCTCCACCTGCTTCGGTGTCAACTCCACCTGTTGGGTTTGCGTCGTCTTTATCATACCTTGTTCATCAAATGTAACATCCCTGCTGAACACAGTTTTGTTCGTCTCAAGACACAAAAGACGATATCCCTTCACGCCAATTGTGATTCCCATGAACAAAGCCTTTTTCACTCTTGGATCTAACTTTGAATCCTTCACATGATAGAATGTAGGACACCCAAAGACATGTAAAGATCCATAGTCAGCAACAGGTTTCCCCGACCATACCTCCAACGGTGTTTTACCATCTTTTGCAGATGATGGCAATCGATTTATGAGGTGTTGCGCGTATGTTACAGCCTCAGCCCAGTACTCCTTGCCCAAACCAGCATTGGACAACATACATCGAACTTTCTCCACCAATGTTCGATTCATGCGCTCCGTCACCCCATTTTGTTGTGGTGTCCGTCTAACAGTGAAGTGCCTAACAATGCCATTTTTTCGGCAAACTTCTTGAAAGGGATCACTTGTATATTCTCCACCATTGTCCGTTCGTAGGACCTTGATCTTCCTTCCAGTCTGATTCTCAATTTGCGTCTTCCATGTAATGAAGACACCAAGCACTTCATCCTTCGTCTTCATAGTGTACACCCAAACGCGTCTGGAAAAGTCATCGATGAAAGTGACAAAATAGCGTCTTCCGCCTAATGATGGGGTCTTAGAAGGTCCCCAAACATCCGAATGAACATAATCCAAGACACCTTTGGTATTATAGATAGCCGTTCCAAACTTCACTCTCTTCTGCTTTCCCCGAACACAATGCTCACAAAAGTCTAATTTGCACACTTTGACATCTTTCAACAGTCCTTGTTTTGCCAATGTCTGCAAGGATTTTTCACCAGCATGTCCCAACCACATATGCCACAACTTAACTGCTTCAGACTCTTTGTTGGTGGAATCTGCTACTGTTGCTGTCCCAACAACTGTATCGCCTTCATAGTAATACAAATTATTCCTCCTGATGCCTTTCATCACCACGAGCAAACCGGATGTAGCCTTCATAACTCCATCTCGTAAAGTCACTACCAAGCCTTTGGATTCCAAGGCTCCTAATGAGATGAGATTTTTCTTCAAACTCGGCACGTACCGAACATCCGTCAAAACTCTGGTGGAACCATCGCGATTCTTCAAACGGATTGAACCTATCCCGGTTGTCTTACAATCATTATCATTACCCATGTAGACAACCCCTCCATTGATCTCTTGAAAATCAAAGAACCACTCCCTTATGGGAGACATATGGTAGGTGCATCCTGAATCCAAAATACATTCATCTGGATGAGATGATGAAGGTGAAACCACAAGTGAAAATTCTGAGTCTTCATTTCCACCCTCAACAACATATGCATCTTGAGGAGATTTGCCTTTCTTCTTCAACTTAGGACAGTCCTTCTTCCAGTGTCCCTTCTCATGGCAGAAAGCACACTCGCCTTTTTCAATCTTGGCCTTGGAACGTGATCTTCCTCGTCCATTCTTCTTTTGGCTCTTCGACCGACTTCTTGCAACTAACGCTTCATCTTCTGCTGCTGCATTCTTCGTCTCTTGTTTGTTCTTCTTCCTCAACTCGTAGCTATAAAGAGCAGAACTGACCACCGCAAGAGTCACATCGTCCTTCCCATGGAGCAGAGTAGTCTCCAAGTGCTCGAAGTCATCCGGAAGTGATGATAACAACATTAGAGCCAAATCTTCATCGCTGAATGTGACGTCCAAATTCAACAAATCTGCAACCAACTGATTGAATGCAGTGACGTGGTCATTCATCGATGTGCCATGCCGGTACTCAAATCGGAACAATCGCTTCTTCATGAGGAGCTTATTCTGGCCGCTTTTCTTCAGAAATTTATCCTCCAAAGCCTTCCACAAAGTGTGAGCAGAATTCTCATTCTTGAATGCGTACTTCTGCTCCCTCGACAAACACGAACGAATTGTTCCACATGCTAAGCGGTTGATATTCTTCCAGTCCTTCTCTTCAAGGTCAGTTGGCTTTTCTTCTTCAATTGCAATGTCGACGCCTTGCTGAAATAGACAATCCAGCACCTCGCCTTGCCACATGCCGAAATGCAGAGGATGATGCGCCCTTGACCTCCTTGGACATCTCGAACTCGAATGCAGTGCTCGCCTCTTCGAATTAGCTTAGGGCGAACCTTCGGCCCTAATACCACTTGTTGGGGTAGAACACCAAACACAGCGGACAAAAATACCCCTCCAACAAATATGACAAGCACTACTCCAAACGAAAATAAGTCAACACAAATAAATAAAAGAGGAGAAATAAAAAGGACACAAAAATTGATAACGGAGTTCGGCGAAAATAGCCTACGTCTCCGGGCACCGCCAACCGCAACGCCAAATTTACTAAACTCACCAACAAAATACAACTAGGGTTAAATAACCCACAAATTAGGATTTCCTTAAATAAAGATTTCCTACCAAGAGAGGAGAGAATAGAATAAGGTGCAATTGTAACCCAAAGGCAAGGGACCTATTTATACTAATATGATCCTACACATCTTTGGTATACATTCGATGTGGGACAAACAATTAATCAACTAACAAAAACTACCATCTCCCAGTCACCACAAGGGAAAACCAGCATAACAACCTCCCCCAAATCTAGCTCCACTCCCTCACGATCATCCTATCAATAGCCCGAGCTCCCTCCCTCTTTTTTAAACAAGAAGAGACACCAGCAACCACCCTTGGATTTCCCTCTTTTGACCTCAGAAAATTATCCTATTGTCCCAGCAAAAATTATCCGAGAAGAAACCAGCCATCAAACCCGAAAAGCCGAGAGCAAAGAACCGAGACCCGAGCCCTTTCTTTTTCCATTTTCTTATTGTACTGGAAGTGAGATAAAATGGCTGAGACTTTCACCCTCTTTTGGCCGAGTTTTGAGCTTTAAAATTTTAGTTTCAAGAAGTTAAATTTGCATGCTAAGAGTTTATAAGTTTGTAGAGCAAGAGGAGCATAAATGGTGTCTTTTGGCTCGAATTGTCTAGTTGTTCTGAGATTGTTGTTATGGAAGTTTTGTGCGACTATTATGCTTATATAAGTTACAGTTGCAGAAAGAAGTTTTTAGCATGCATAGTTAACTATTAAAAGCTTAGTGCAAAGAGAAGTGTTATGTGGTTTTGGGCTGGATTTTGTTTGAATTATTGAGCCGTTAGGTTGTGTTTTTCTCTTTTTATGTTAAAAACATGTTTAGTTAAAAAGGTTGAGGTACATGCTTATGGTCAGAATTTTCATATTAGAAATATGACGGATGTGTCGCATTTGTCTACATGAATTAGAGAATGAGGATAGAAACGACTGTGAAAACCCTAGCACGCTACGCTTCGAAGAACCATGGCTCCATACAGTCTACATGTTCACCATCCTCTCACTTTCTATAGTATGGTAAATCCTTTGAGGACGGAAGGTAGGTGCCCTAGGGATCTCCTCCGGTGGGACCTCAGAACTTGATCTTATATCTCTGACTTGGGAATAGAAAGAGTATGGGGGAAAGCAATAAAGCCCTAGCACTGTGAGATGGACCTCTATTACATCGACCCTCGTCTGAAGCTCGTCCCCCACAATCCTAGCTCGCTCTCTTGTTTACCACTACTCATGTTCCCTCTGACGCACAGCTGGCTGGCATCTTTACCAAGGCAGTGGGAATCGATAGGTGTAATCCACCATAACATAAATAACATAAGGTAGTTGCCAGTCAGAACAAAAATCCAAATAGGATGGAACAAGACATCATCGACACGTGAACGGTTTAGATAAAGGCAAGAATGGCATATCCGAATAGCTTCCCCAAGTCATAGGAAGACTACGGAACTAAACAAAGAGCTAAATGCACTCTAAAAAGACTTTTTAACTTTCAATAATTTATTTCTTCTCAATATGTCATTCTGTAATCTAAAAACGTTCCTATTAACATCATGATGATGTACTGAGGATATTCTACCAATATCAAAAGCTTGCTTGGTTGATAAGATAAAAACATTCTCTATACATGGCATTCAATTCAAAAGTCCCATGTTTTTTGTTTGTTAACAAGAAACCACAAAATGGGAGCCGTACGTTAACACTTTTGACTTTCTGACTTTTCCGGCATAACATAAGAGGTGCTCGGAGACAGGATCTGGCTGACTGAACTTCATTTGTAGAGTCTCACTTTACTCTCCCACAGTCTCTCTTTTTGGTATGAAAGAACTCCATCTATTGGTTTAGGTGCTCCCATACTCGACGGAAGGAATAGAAAGTAACGCATCTACAGTTGAAGTAGTGGAAGGACCGAGCCCTTCTGCTGGTCTTTCGTCCGTTGCCTATGGTCTCTGGAAAGTATTCTATAGTTCACTTTCCTCTATGTCCTGAATCTGCCATTTACATGGACCCCGACATGTGAAGCTTCCTTCAAGAAGCTACAACAGCAACTCATGCACTTGCCAATGATGCACACGCCCGTAGCTGGCAGACCTCTGCGCTTGTACTTGGCAATGACTGAGGAAGCAATCGGTGGCCTCATTGCCCAACTTTGATGGAATGAAGCGAAACGAAGTGACGGGAAGGTTAAAACATATGCTCGACTTCAAGAGCCCTTGAATAAAAGAGAAATTCCTAGAAAACAAGAGGAGCAATGGGCAGCAGGGAAGGAGGGCTAAAAAAAGATCTAAAACTTGGTCAGTACCTCCCAAAAAGATTGATCTCTTTGGATCTTGGTCCATCATGGCCTTTTTATTGATTTTGACTATTGGATCAATCTATGAATGGAAAAGGGGTGTTTCAGATCGGGAGTAATCACTAGTGAAAGGGCTAAAATTGGGGGGAAGGACAAAGGAAATAGCGATGCCTACATTAAATCAATTGATACGTCATGGTAGAGAAGAAAAATGCCGTATGGACCGTACTCGAGCTTGTGTCAATGTCCCCAGAAGGAAGGATTATACCAGCATGTTTCAACGAGAACACTGAAAAAACCTAATTCAGCTCTATGTAAGATAGCCAAAGTACAGATGAGCAATAAACATGATATATTTGCTCATATTCCAGGCGAAGGTCATAATTCATTTACGATTTCATAAATGTTGTAGGCTAATTCCCGTCACGAGATACTTCTTGAGATGCAACTAAGCTAGCTTAGTTTGTCCACTAGATCCCTTATTAAATAGGATGAATCATCGGATGATGACAACTAAACTCATAGAGCTAGTCTTTATTCATTTGGTATATGAGCCTTTTTCGTGCCATCTGTAAGAACGCCCTCGACCCTATCAGATCTTCAATTTCATCTCCGCGCATTCTATTCTTTCAAGTCACATAGCTCTAATGTGCATATTCCTTCAACTATGGATTCAGTTCGTTTTGTTTTTCTGAGTCAAACCCCGTTTTTGTAATTTCCTGAGCCTCCATAACATTTTATCTATGTCGAGTTTTGAACTTTGGTTGTCGAGGAGTCAAACACCGTCGAAAATGGTTGCCGACGTCACTATTCCAAACCTTTGCTCCACTAACAGTCGCAGATCAACCAAGTTCAGGCCATCAGGCTGCAATCTCCCTCCAGCAGCTCGGCTCAGCTTGGATGCAGCGCAACAGCACGACCAGGCGTCACAGGACTAATGAGTGGCGCCCAGCAGTGCGACCCAAGTGTCGCGGGCCTTTTTCCACATCCAGCCCATCAAGTTCCGCGGCCCAGTATCCGCTCCCAGTGGTCAGCCCGCACCAGCCCGTGCCTCCACCTGTTGCAGCCAGCGTGTAGGCCCGGTAAATCCTGCGCGTCCTTCCCAACAATGGCCCATTTCCCAGCGGACCAACACGTGTATCCTCAGCCCTGTACACCCAGCAGCAGCCCAACCTCCTGCGTTTCAGCCTGCCAGCGCCCTAGCTGCATCCGTACCAGCCCAGTGATGCAGACAACGAGCCTAGTGTGCCATCCAGCAAGTCCACACATCCAGCTGCTCATGTGCGACGTCCGCGGTGTGCTGCGCTGAGCCAATAACTGAGTTTAAGTATTTTTTTCAAACCAAGCCTAAGTATTTTTTTTGGGCAACAAGCCGACCGGTTCAACCCAGTTTAAAAAATTAGAATTTGCGAGCGTAAGTTGGAATTTTCAAGAACTCTAGACGAGACTAGAGAAGTCGAGAAGAGTTAGTAGAAGAGTTCAATGTTTTATTTGCCTTTGTTTGTCTTATTTACTTGTTTTGTTTGTTTTACCTATTTGTGTGGCTTAATGGACAGAATAAAATCCTTAATAATAATTAAATCTATAATTTGTAGATTAATAGGAGTCGAACCCTCTTGCAGTTCACGAGCATTTTCATCCATTCATTTGAATAGTTAAGGTGGGGTTTTCTATGCTATGCCTTATTCTTAATAATCGCAAGGTATTATGGTAAAGGTATGCTTATGAGTATTTTGCCTGAGGGAGGGCAATGCGTGAGTGTAGGCACCAATTATAGCAGGTGTGTACACACGAGATAGACTCGGCTATGGTTGGGCCAGCTTTTCCCATAAATCCCGCCTAGGGGTCCATCAACGCGATTCGTTCGGTCCATTAGCGCGACCGTTGGTCCATAAACGAATAAATAAATTTATCTTTTAGAAATGTTAGTGAGATTTTTGATAAGTCGTATTATTGACATGTTAATTGTTATGTTTTCTATACGCATACTTATTTATTTTAATTGATTTTTATCTTTTCTGTAGGAGATCTTGGAATTTGTGATTTTGTGATTTTGGAGGGCAAAAAATAAAAATGAATTTGAGCTAAGACGTGGTCATGCTAATTTCCTACAAGAGTTGGAAGAAGGTAGGATATTTAAGTTGGAAAGAGAAATAAAAGACTTTATGGAGTATTTATTTACTTATGGACTATTATATTTTATTAGGATATTTTGGAGAGAGAATGATCTCTTTATTATTTTTAAGTATTTCTGCTAGGATTAGGATTTGACTGGTTTGACTAAAAACCAGACTGTAGATTTTATTTATCTATCTCTCTTTTCTTCTTCTCCCCCCTCACGCACGCCCTTTCTTTTCTCTTCTTCTCTTTTCTTCTTTATTTTATTTTCATGAATAATTGGGAGAGGACTCCCATGTTTATGGAGAATTAATTTAGTTTTCCAGACAAAGGATTATTCTAAATTTGGTTCTTCATGATTTGTGAGATCTAATTGAATTTCTATTCCATAATTCTCTTTCATTTATATATCTCTTGTGATTATTATCAATTGTGTTTTAATTGGTTGATGCAAACTGGCCATTTGTTCGATTGTTGAAATGCATATCGTTATTTAGAACGTTAAATCCGTAACTGTTTGACTATTCTAATATTTTTGGCAAATAGTATAGTTTACTACTAAGGGTTTTCAATTGTATGCTTAGGGAGATATATGATCTAGTCTAAATGATCTTACAGGTGCGTTTGTTGGCTAGAATTGGTGGTCCTTCAAGATTTCAATGTTGTTGATAGATTAAATTCTATGATCGTATCGAGGATTGTCTGTTGATTAGAGAAATAATTAGAGATCGTATCCTAATTATCGAACAACTAAGGAAGGACAGGTTGGTAGGTCGTACCAATAATCATAACCAGTTTAATCGAGATTAAAAGAATTATCTTTACATCCGTGATCGAATCGTCTGTTGAACCTTCTCTATGAGTTTTCCCTTTGGTTGGATATTTTGTTAGTTTGGTTCACTTGTTTTGTTTATGTCTTTCTTTAGATCTTATTTTATTTTATTTTTCTTAGTTAGATAAAATCACCAAATCCCCTCATCATTTTTATTTTTGTTTCTTTCACAAATAGTTGCATCAATACTCTGACTAGCCAATCTCTGTGGATACGACCCTGCTAACCACTACTACAGTTATTTTAGATGCAGGAAATTATTATTGTTGGATTCGACACCCATCAATTTTGCTTGAGAACAAGCGAAAGGCTATGTATCGGGGAGTAATTTTGTATGTTG